TCAAATATTGCTAAAGTAATAAATTATATTGCATAAATTAAATTTCCCAAATTTTCCTCCAAAAAATCAAAAAATCGACCCCGAGCCCGCTTGGTCAAAATTCGAGGTTCGGACCAAAATTCATTTACCCATTCATCCCCGAGCCCGAATATATAATTGGTTTTGGAATCCGACCTCAAATTGAGGTCTAAATTCTCAAATTCCCGAAATTCCTAGTTTCTACCCTAACCCCTAATTCTACCATGAAAACTCTAGATTTTAGGTTAAAATTTTAAGAAATGTAATGGGTAATTGAAAGAAAATAGTTTAAAATCACTTACCAATAATTTGGGAAAGAAATGACTCTTGAAAAATCGCCTCTCACCGTTTGATTTTTGAGAAAAATGAGTTTTTGGCCAAAATCCCATTTTTGGATTCTGTTAAGTGCTGGGCGACAGTGTTCATCGCGTTCGCGAGAGCACTGTCACGTTCGCGAAGGGTACTGGCTGCCAAGCCTTCGCGTTCGTGAGACCCAGCTCGCGTTCGCGATGATAACTCCCCCTGTCCTTCGCGTTCGCGATGAAGCAACGACCCCCCCAGGTCCCCATATGCTTCGCATTTTCGTTGAGCCAGTCGCGTTCGCGAAGGGTAAGTCCCCCATCACTTCGCGTTCGCGAAGAAGAAAACTTTAGCTGCCCAGCTTACTTTTCGCGTTCGCGAGAGTACCAGAACACAGACTCTGTAGAAAAAACAGATTTCCAAAGTCCAAAACATCCCGTGGCCTATCCGAAACTCACCCGACCCCTCAGGGCTCCAAACCAAATATACACACAAGTCTAAAAATATCATACGAACTTGATCGCGCGATCAAATCGCCAAAATAACATCTAGAACTACGAATTTAACACCAAATCGAATGAAATCCTCAAGAACACTTTAAAATTACTATTTTCTCAACTGAAGGTCCGAATCACGTCAAATCAACTCCGTTTCTCACCAAATTTCTCAGACAGGTCTTAAATATCATAATGAACCTGTACCAGGCTCTGGAACCAAAATACGGACCCGGTACTAACAATGCCCAACATCAATCAATTTTCAAACTTTTAATTTTCATCAAAAATTCATAATTTGAGCTAGGGACCTCCGAATTCGATTTCGGGCATACGCCCAGGTCCCATAATTCGATACGGCCCACCAAGATCGTCAATATACGAATCCGGTCCCGTTTATCAAAAATATTGACCGAAGTCAACTAAAATTAACTTTTAAGGTAAAAATTCTTATTTTCATTAGTTTTCAATATAAAAGCTTTCCGGAAACCTGCCCGGACTGTGCACGCAAATCGAGAAGGGTAAAAATGTGATCTTTAAGGCTTAAGAGTGCAGATTCGAGTTCTAAAACATAAGATGATCTTTTGGATCATCACAATTTTCCTTTTGCAGCACTAAAGACCCGTTTGGATATAGATTCACAAATATTTTTTGAAAAAGTTGATTTGGGTATAGTTTGATATGAAATTGAAAATGTACTTGGACATGAATTTTGGAACAAGTTTTGACATGTTAAAAGAGTCCTTTTTTTTTTTCAAGATATATAAAAAGTCCCAAATGACATGATTTGGCCCAAAAATAGGTCTTAAGCTATATTTGGGATTTGAAGTTTTGATTTTCAAAATCTCCTCAAAACTAGATTAATTCTATAAACATACACACAAAAAAAACTTTCAAAATTTATGGCGAAACGCCTACTAAATAAAAGGTAAACACGATCTTCCTTCAAAGAATTTATCACGTAACAGCCAAACAAGTAGTGTTTGATTTATAGTCTGGACCATTATTTCAACTTTAAATCTGAAATAATGAATTTGAAATTTGAATAATCAATTTGAAAAGTATTTAAGTAAAACAGATTAATTTCACCCATAAAATATCAACTTTCTGGGTTGAGCCTGTCGCACAGGGCTTGCCTAGTGCGGTTTACATCCCCTGTGTGATTTGCATACTATTATACAGGGAAAAATTTACCCAGTGCGCACAAAGTATTCACACGAATGGAGATGTTGTGGCGGCTTCGGGTTTCTCTATCTTACAAAAAAAAAAAATCTCAACTTTCTTTATAAGTGAATTCACGTTCAAACATAAACGAGTAAATACTCTTTTTCAATAAAGTTCAAATACTCATTTTTTCAAAACTCCAACCAAATAATATCAATTTCCCTTATCGCAATTTTTACCAATCCAGATCTGACATGTGTTAAAGCTGAATCAATTGTCATGCAACAATGATCACTAGTGGCTGACTTGGCAATCCACATATGACATTATGTGTTTTTCTTTGAAGATCTTATGGCTTACACTGAAATATTAAATTTCAAAGGATATATAATGTACAAATTATGCAAGAACCACATATAACTCATTCCCTATTTCCTCTTAGATTTAGGCCGTTTTTGCGGTGCGCATGAATTCATGGTCTTTCCGTTATACTAGATAATTATTTTATATAAATATTTCGTAAAATTAATCTAATATTATATATTGGTTCCAATGCTCCAAAAAAATTGAATGATGCATCTGGTTAAATGTTGAGTTATTTATCCAAAGGAACATAGATCGATTGCTACTTAGTATTTTTTTTTCCTCATTTTCTAAGCGGTGCACTAATGTTCTATAAATCAAATACTGAAACTTTATAAGAATAATTTATTAAAAATATCTTTAATAAAGAAATAGTTGTTTCATGTTTGAATGTATAGTAGCTTCTTTAATGTACTACATTAATGCTCAATTATTTTGAACAGGGACTGTTTGTCTATAAGAACAAAAAAGGACAGTACGTCACATGAAGATGTCAGAAAATATGGTACACAATATCTTCATTAAATCTTTCCACAGTTAGGATCAAACTACTCTATTTTTCACGTTCAAATTTTAAAATTAGCTATACAGATTTTATGCTTGATGCTGTTAGCTACCCCAATTGTTTCATTTTAAGTGACATTCATTCTTTTTTAATCTGTGCAAGAAAGAACGATACCTTCATATATTTGATATTCTTTAACTTTAAACCTTTTATTTCTAAACATATTCTAATTATAGCTGTAGTAATGTCATGACATGTTAAATACTTCAAGTTCAAATATATTTTTTGTATGTATTAAAAGTTTTTCTTTTTGACCTGTCTGTCGAATCAAATATGAAACACCACCATATAAACTGAGTCTGATAGAGTATATGTTAGGATGTGCTAGCTTGTGTTTGAAATAAAAAGCATAAATTCACGGCTCCTGTCACTATTTACAAATACTCAATATAGGGATGGACCTATGCTATACCGAGAGGGGTCACTGGTACCCGTAAAGTTCAGCAAAAAATTCTATGTATGGATATATATATTTTAGATAATAGTAGAGTAATGTATTAGTAGTGAGCACCCTATATACGTAAATTTTGGTTAAATCTACAAGTGTACCCTGCGGCCTTCAAATTAAATCATGGGTTCGCCTTGCATATATATACTAGCAGATGCTAGCTAGTAAGATCCTAGAAATGACTAACGTACACCCCCCCACCCCCCAAACAAGACATGAGCTTTCTAGCGTGTAGAGGGACTAGTTATGAAAGCAACTAGGTAAAGCAATACAACACAATCACTTGAGAATGAGTTGAAAGATGCTTTTGCAGTTTGCAAAGATCAGTGGTGGAGACATTCTTCTCTGCGGAGAATGTTTTTCAACACAATTAGTACCTCAAAAAAGTTCATTACTAATTAATAAATGTAAATAATATTGTTGAAAAAACCAATAAATATTAGTTATATCGACACTATTTGAACAAAAAGCAAACATCGATTTGAGACAAGAACCAAATCCTTAAAACCTATATAGCCTCAGATGTACTCTCAAATAAGTTGAGTTGTGGAATGGTAGGAAATGACATCTTTCTTATTAAATACTACTAGTTAAAAACCATTTGATAAAAGATGTTTTTTCATGATGGTAATTAAGGGAGGGGAAATTGAGTAAAGAGATAATGTCGTTTTAACTAAGGTAGTCATAGTTGGTAGTTATAGTTAGAAGCTAATTCACAACTTCCTCCACAAGCAAATATAGACTAACCTCTTTCTTGGCATGTCTACTAGATTATATTCTTGGTAATTTAGAAGGGATCCGTCTAATTTTGAAGTGTGACGTCGTGATGCTTTTCCCTTCTTTCAGCCGAGTGACCTTATCGATCAGTGGCGGACGCACGTAGAGACAAGCGGGTTCAACTGAATTCGTTTCATCAAAAAATAATACTGTATATATGTACTTCTAAGATTGAACTCGTTTGCATAAAATCTTGAGTCCGCCACTGATCGAAAGGGCTTTGACCTAGTGGTTATAATAACGCATCAAGTGATATATGGATTAGGTACATATTCAGCATCATAAGTTCGAAACTTGTCACAAAATAAAAATCTTAAATTTAAATTGACAATAGTAGAAAGATGAGTCCATCATCTACCGGATTTCAAACTGTATGCCACTGACCCTCTGTTATTCAAAAAAGTTGAATTTTTGTGGGACACGATTTTTTTTCGGTGACAAGTAATCGCATATTGCCAAACAACATCATGTCCAACTTTATACATAAGCACACAACACTAGTGATGAGGTGGTAATGAAACCATGCATATATTTGATCAATTAGCCTCTAGTGTTCGAATCCTATTGGTTGATTACACGTGAGTAGATAATTTCATACAATAGGAAAATGCCACTTAGGTAATCTTGGTTTGTTCATTTTTTGGTTATTAATCTCTCTCTCTATATGGCAATATATGGACCCAATAATCACGTGGAGGGGGCAGCTGATTGGAAACCCTAAAAGACAAAGAAATTGTCACTTACAAAATCTCCTCTAATCCCCTCTCCACCAGTTATCATTTATCTCCCACGTGGGACTCCTTACCCCACTCTACTGTTTTGCAAATTCTCCTAAGTTTTCTACACTCTATTTTTATTCACTCACTTGCCTCAGCTCATGATCTCTTATCATACCATACTCCTATCATCTTTTAGATAATATATATTTTGCTTGAGCTTCAAATCTTGTGTTGGTGAAGATCAGATAGTAACTAAACTATTATCATGAGTGATTCCTCTGCTTCATACATCCACTTGGTAAATAATTTTATTTTTTATGACCACTCAATATTTATCATGATCAACTTCTCTTCCGTAATAAGAACTTTTGTTAGTATTAGTATTCTCTCTTCAAAGCTGCCTAAAGTTTTGCTTACGGTTCGGCAGAACACAATAGGTTTGGCTCAAATCTTTTTTTTTTTTTGTGTGTGAAACAATTCAGTTAATATGTATACATATTTATTCAGAACCCATTAAGTTACTTTTTCTAAAATCCAGAACCCTTAAACTCAAAATTCTAGTTGTGCCACAGGTTGTGCGTCTGTTCTTATATTGATCCCGTTTAACTTTTTATTTGTACTGTATAAACTCTGAAACTAATTTATTGTGAATTTTATACGCTGTTTTTATGCTTTATTACTGATGCTTAACCCTAATTTAGGTGCAGCACCTGATAGAAAAGTGCCTGATTTTCCATATGACTAAAGAGGAGTGCATGGAGGCACTATCCAAGCATGCAAACATCAAGCCTGTAATCACTTCTACTGGTTAGTACTGTAGTGCTTTTCTTTTTTCCTTTTTAATGTCTGTATGATCCCGAATCAGCCACGCATTGACGTAAGCGTCACAGTCGTAGGCTGCACTGATCATATTTCTTGGCCCTTTCTCGAATCTTGCGTAAATGAAGAATGGTTGTGCACCGGGATTATGCATGCATGCAGAATTTTAGTTTGAGGGACTTCCCAAAACCACAAGCTTGTAAATAGGAGTACTTTTAACCGTCTAATCCAAATATAATAGTGGAGACCTTAAGGGTAGTAGACAGGCAGATTTAAGAAAACGTCTGTCGAATATTTTCTTTTCTTTTCCGCTTGAACTATTTATACATATGAATCAAAATTTATATATACTATGTATATATAATAAATCACAGTCATTAAATCACTTACTTTAGATCTTTGATTCGCGTAGGTAGTCAAATTCTATTATCATTCTAGTAGTGTTAGATTCAATATATATTTTATACCCTCCAACTTAGTAGGCGAATATTAACTACTTGTAGGTATTAGAGCTAGCACAACATTAAGAGCAACAATGATGGTGCACATATACAAACTCCTTTCAACTATATATACACTCAACTGATCATTTTATCATATTTTGCAGTGTGGAATGAGTTAGAGAAAGAGAATAAAGAGTTCTTCGAGTCATATACTCAATCACAGAACAAAGATCGCCTGACAGAGGCAGAGACTAGCGCGATGATTCAAAAAATGATATCAAACCATGATCACGATCATTCCAAAGACTCGGAGGAAGTAGGTTGTTCGAAGGATTCAGACAAGGGATAACATGTTATGTCCAAGCGAAAGCGATCTAACCTTTGAGTTCTGGTTGATCTTTAGGGATTTAACTTATATAACGCAAAACATTTTCACGCTATCAAGTGTACCTGTCTTATTTTCCATGATTATTAATACTATCAATTATTATTTATGGTTACATACCAGACTCAAAGGCGATTACTAAGTATAGCACTACCTTATGGTCCCTACTTTATTGAAAATTCGGACATTGTACTATGTGGTCCTTTTCTTGATACTATATAGTACCATATACTAGTTGGTTGAGCAGCTCCAACATATATACCAGTTGAGTAAATTTAATCTAACTTTTTTGTTGTCACAAGTTGGTGTACTTGACAAGAACCAAAACCTTAAATGAATGGCCTTATATGATTGAAAGTAAGAGTTGTGAATTGTTGGAGAACGACTAATTAATGGAGCTGTGGCCACACTTGGAATCTTCATATTATATGTCTTCTTTTGTCTGTTAAGGGGCTATTAAATTTTGGCTCTTTGGTAGTCTTGTATTGTTGTACAAGATGTCATGTGATATATGAATGAAGAGTACATAACCCATTTATGGTTCTTCTGGACAAGTGTGACGGAAATGTGTGTTTTAAAAAAAGAGTGACATTTTTATATATAGCGCTCTTTTAAAGAGCGCTATATATATATATAGAACGCTCTTTTAAACCGCGCTATACCTGTTTTGTGGGCCTACCAATAAGTCTCCTGCGTTTAACTGACATAACAATAATTCAAATGGGTATAGCGCTCTTTAAAAGAGCGCTACACCTAAAACAATTCAGCCCACCGAGCTAGGCATTGCCTTATTTAAAGGCGTTAGGATTTTACAAAAATTCATTCAAAAATATTCCTAACTCTCATTCAAATTTTTCTTCTTGTTAAATTCTCAAGTATTTTTTCATAATGTCTAAAGAGCGAAAAGTAAGGGTTTCATTATATTGGGAGGGTGAGGTTGTGGTGGCGAATAACTCTGTGAGCTATAGTTTATCTC